GACATTCCTTTTGTGGAATATGCATCCTGCTGTTTTCAGTCCCACTTTCAGTCTGAGTTGCTGCTTTTTCAGGTCTGGTCACTGAGGTTTTCATCAAGATAGTCAGCTGCTCTGTCAAGGTTATCTCAAAATTTAATCTCAGGTCAGTTTACTGTTTCCTCTAAATACACAGTGAAAATAATAAATGCATCGCTTCATATGATATCCCAGTGTCACACAAAACTTAATGCCTCTCCTCATCCCCAGATATCTTCATTCTTTTCTCTGCTGGTCTAAATCTGCAGACTTGCATGTGCAAACAGAGACTGGGACAAACACCTAAGCATCTAAGCAGTCAATAAACACAAGAAGGGCCACCAAGATTTGCTGACAGCACTAAACAAACATCTGATGTTATGATGCTGCTGTGGTAAGGCAGGAAGATCAAATTCCTTTTGAAATATGAAGGGATAGAGACAAGGCAGAACAAACCTGCTTGAAATCTCAAAGAATTTAAGCAAACAGGCTAATCAGGCCAGCTAGAAGATTGGTGAGAAGAGAATGATTTGGGGAGGAAAAGCACACAGCTAGCCAAGCCATTCTGGTGTCCAGCTCAAAGCTTCTGCTGTCACACAGCCAAGCTATTTCTATTTTCAGTGGGCCATGCCTAGAGATGGGTATCACACACCAGTTATTAAAGCAAATTCCTGCATTCAGATGCATACACAGAGCCACACTGTCAGTGCACACAGACACACAACTGAGACCACAGGACCTTCAAAACCCTCCTGCTACTTGCACATTTTGTTTCTGTAGTGTCTCTATTTTAAAGCCCAGATCAGCTGTTAAGCTTTACTCCACCTAGTCTCATGCTATCTCTGCAACTTTTAAAAGTGCTGCAGCTAACATCTGCCTAAACCACACAAACACCATGGAACAATTGCTTAAAAATTATTTACACTAGGTGGATGGAATCATCTGACACAGAATTTGAAGCTCATTAAACAGCTCCTTGACAAATATTTGTCAGCATTTCTCATTTGTAATTAATTATATTGGGCTTTACCTGACGATAATTTAGCACGGTCTCAAAACAGACTAATGCCTGTGTGCTGAACAGAAATTAGCTCAGCAAATGCACACTGAGAAATTGTGACAGTTTTATGAAACAAGAATCCCCATTTAAATGCGAGTCCCCCGCTTCCCACCCCACTCCTATCTGGGCTTTATAAATATCTGTGTCCCATTTCAGGCTTGTCAGATGAGCTGCCTGAGTTGAAGCTAAACAAACATCCGCAGAAAAAACTCATTACCTTACTCAGTGTTCAGAAAACCTGAAACCAACTGCTTACTCCATAGGGATGGCCAGAGCTGACTCAGGAAACATCAAGTACTTCCCAGGCTTTAAGCCATCTTAACATTCAGGTCAGATTTCCTTTCTCATCACAGCAAACCATCCTCACCACGGCACGTCAACAGCCATGTCACGTCAGTCTGCTGCCTGGACACCTTTGCACCAGGGGGTAGGAGGGAGACAAACATCTGCCTGAAATCTCACCTCACCTGAGAGCTCTGCAGAAGCCTCCTTGCCAGCACTGCCAGGGCACATCATGGAGAAAGTCACTCCAATGGATTGATTTATCACATTCTGAGAAATGACCTTTCCCTGTCAAGCTGGTGTCTAAAATGCCCACCTGGGTTTGGAGAACCTCATGCTATTATTGCTGCTAACAAACACACCAGCAGGGCAGCACAGGCTCCTCCAAGCTGGGAAAAGCCACAGGTCACACTGGGCACACTGACACAGGTACAGAGGGTCTGTGCCTTCCTGCTTTTCCAGGCTGGCCATTTGGGGGGCTCAGGGCAGCAGCGTGTGAGGGACTGCTCTGGAGTGAACCACAGGGCTCGCTGCTGTCAGTCCAGCAAGGACACTCACGGGACAATCTGGTGACCAATTGTAGGACAACATCTCAGCTGCTTTACTACACATCAAGGGTTGCTTTCTGAAGGTCAAGGCTCCAAAATGCTCCCCAGTGTAGGGCACAGGCCCCTTTTGCACACAGCTACATTGAAGTCTTGCAAGGCCAGGCAAGGATCAGTCGGGCCACATCTGCAATGACACTGGAATTGCTCAGCTGTCACTCCAAGAAGGAAAAAATCCACAGTGAGATCCCACTGTCTTCATTTAACTCCCTCTTCCTGTGTATTCCCCACACAAACATTAGAGACATCAAGGTACAGGGTGCCATAAATGCAGAGACAGATAACCAGGAGCAGATGGCCTCTATTTCAACACCAAACAATTTACACTTGAGAAGTATGACAAGGCTACTGACACCTGGACAGAAAAGCAGTTCCCAGAGTGGGAGCTGGTTAAAGTTTTGCTTCAAGGGATGGGAACTTTTATCAACATAACCATAACAGATTGGATGACTCCTCCTGAAGTTACAGTGGCATGGGATCTGTGTTCTTGCACAGCACCTGTGTCCCTTTGCCATCCACAAGCTTCACACAACCTGGTATTTTGCACAGGTTGGGCTTTTTCAGTCACCCACCCCAACAAATAGCAAAAGCATTTAGTAAAAGTCATTTAGTAAAGGGTAAAAAGTAAAAGCCAATTTAGTAAAAGGTGAAGTCAAGCTGTGTGGAAGTTCTTGCTCCTCTTTTTGCAACTTGATACATAAGAAGGTCCTGGGGTGACACCTCACACCCCTACAGCTGCAAGGTTGTCCCCAGAAGCAGAGCTCAGCCTTGTCCCTGCAGGGTGGCTCTCCCCTCCTGCATGAGCCACCATCCACCCGTGTCCCCTCTTCTGAACCATGGCTTAGATCCTCCAGTGGGTGAAATGTTCTGCACTTTCCTTCTCACAGTTCTTCACACCAAGCAGACAAAACACTGTCTCTGCACCCTTTCAGCTGTGCTCAGCCCAAGAAAAGGCTGAAGTTCAAGCAGGGGCTCAGAATGTCTCATCTACATTCTGGGCACGAGTGTCTTCTGGAACCTGGGGAAAATCTCCATGGCCTCCAATGAGCTGGGGGCAGACCCACAGCATGACGTGTACTAACACCAGGACACCTCTCCACGGCACCCAAAGCTTCTTGACTCAACTCAAACACATTAACACCTAAACATCTCACCAAGGCTGAGGTATCTCACACCACCAGCCACTCACAACCTCCTCACCAACACCAGAGTCATAATAAAAACTTCAGGCTGCTGCATGCAACACACAGAGCAATTTCTGCCACACTGGGCTTGTGCCTTAAGACACCTTCATCTCCCTCTGATCTTCAGAAACAAGTTTCTCAACGTGCATACGGAGCTGCAGGAAAAAGCACCTAACAACGATTTTGTGACATTATTTCTTAACACAGCATGAAATCGTTAGGTCAAAACGTGCCACCTATCACATGAACATTAAAAGTATGTCAAGTCTCAGTGTGCAAGCTATTGTTTTATCTGAATGTGATATTAGCTGGCAGAACTGGGTAATGTATCTGTGCTCCTTTTTAGTGATACAGGATTATGAGAGGATGCAAGTAGTAGCCATGCTTGGCTTGGCAAAGAGAGCACAGCAATTATTTTCAAGTAGAAAATAAACAAATAAGAAGTGAAACAGAATAAAGACATTTTCTAAAATGCCCTACCAAGTTCTAAACTTGCTCTTCGCTTCCTCTCCAAAAAGGACTACAGCCAAATTCTCAAGTCCTTATTCCCATAAAAATGCTTAATGACACAAACTAGGGCTTTGTTTGAGGAAAAGCAGAATTTTGTCAGAAACAGAAGCATACAAATTTCTCTCCTGCCAATAAACACATATTCACACTTTTGGTCCCTCTGGTTTGAGCAGGACACTTATAGATAGGCTCACCAGGTGAGAAATGGTGGATAAATTGAATCTGGACATTACCTCAGCATTTGTTCCTTTTTGCCTACACGAGTCTAACACCAACCATGTGGAGGTTTGTTGGAGTGAACAAATCCTCCCTTAATTACACCAGAGTAAGTTCTGTTGGAGGCATAGTGTGGATGGATACAGGTGTAACCAAGGACAAAATCTGGCTACAAAACAAGAAACAAAATAAAACAAACAAAATCCTGAAAATCCACTAAGTATTCCTGGCTAAATATTTAAACATCTTAAAACCTACACAGATTTTTTTTTTTTTGTTAAACAATCAGCTTCACCTCCACATTTATTTTGACAGTTCATCATCGTTTCAGTTGTGCCTCCAGTGCACGTAAACCCAAATAAATCTGCTTTTCACCACAGCAAACTTCTCCCGATCAGAACTTGCAAACAACAAAGCCCTTCAAGCACACAGGCTGGAGCTCCCCTTCCATGGCAGCATCACCGCCACGACCCAGGCTGGGCTGACAGCGGTTCCACGCTCGCGAGTGGCTGAGCGGAGGGAGCACGGAGAGGCGAGGCCGGGCCGGGCGCAGGGAAGCGACGCCCGGGAAGCCCCGCGGGGCTTCGCCTCCCTCCGCCCGGCCTGGGCTCTCCCAGCCCCTCGGTTCGCGCTGGGGGATGACTCGAGCCGCCCAGCGCGGGGCCCACTCGTGACACGCCGGCAGGGAGCGCGGCAGGCCGGGCGCCCCCCGCCCGCAGCGGCACCGCCACTGCCCCGAGAAACACGCGCGGCCCCGCGGACACGAGTGGGCGGCCCCGCCGGGCCACGGCGGCGCGAGAAAAGTTTGATCCGTGGGAGGGGAAGGGAAGCGCCGCCGGGGGACCGCGCACAACTCCCCGCTGCCCGCGCGGGGGGATGGCCCCGGCCCCGCCGCCCGCCGGGAGCGGCGCGCCGGGCTGCAGGTGTCGGCGGCAGGAGGGAGAAGGGAGGGCAGCGGGGCACCCCGGGGACGGGGAGGGGGCGGCGGGACCGCCCCCGCGGGCACCCCCGGCGGGCCGGCCCGGGGACCGGGGTCAGGGGCGGGGGGGGTGTCCGGGGGGCGCCGCGGGGGCTCCCCCGCCGCTGCCCCCACACAATGAGGCGCACACAAAGCGCCGCCGCTCCTACCTCCAGCGCCTCGAAAGTGACGAAGCTGGACATCGCGAAACCGTCGATAATGTCCTCTTCGGCCGAGGAGGACTCCCGCCGCTTCCTCCGGGGGGGCCGCGGCCGGGACGGCGGCGGGGGCCCATTGTCTTCCTTCTCCGAGCCCGAGGAGGAGAGCGCGGCGGCCCCGGGGCCGGCGGCCCCGCCGGCGGCACAGCCGCGCCGCCCGCCTTTGGCTCGCCGCTCCCGGTCGCGCTGGGACCGCGATCGCCGCTTCTTCCGAAGCCCGTTGCATCGCGCCGGGCCATCCATGTCTCTCGCCGGCTCTCCCTCTCGCTCTCGTCCCCCCCCGCCCCACCGCAGCCACAAATCCGGCTCCCCCGGCGGAATAACGGGGGAGGGAGGGAGGGAGAGAGGGAAGGAGAAAGGGAGGGAGGGGAGGACAGCAAGGGGGTGGGGGGGATGAAAGAATCCGAGTGCGGTTCCACCACCACCAGCAGCAAGCACCAAATGTAAGAGATTCCTATAAGCGAGCCAAGGAAAGTAATGGCTGATCTCAGGTCGCCTTTGTAAAAAAAAAAAAAAAAAAAAAAAAAAAAAAAAAAAAAAAAAAAAAAAAAGCCACGGAGAGAAAGGAAAAAAAAAAGCCTCACCAAGCAGGCAATAAATCAGAATAGCGGAATGCTTTGATCAAGGGGCTGGGAGGGCGAGGATCTTCGAAAGAGAGGAAAAAAGGTTGAGAAGAAGGGGGGAAAAAATAAAGAAAGGAGACCCGCTGGAAGGAGGGAGCTGAGAGTATTTCCTTGCACAAAATTTATTTTCTTTCTTCCTTTCCTCCCCAACTAAAAGAAGTTCCAGGGGGGGAAAAAATATATATGTAGATGTACAGAACTCCCTTTCTGTCTGCGTGTGTGTGTGTGTGTGTGTGTGTGTGCAGGGAAGGGTGCAGCCTTCCCCTCCCCACCAACACGCACTCCTCTCCCCCTCCTCCTTTATCTCCCTGGATCAAACACAATAATAATAATAACGATGCATCCAGATGCAATTTTCTCAGGCACCGACCAGGGATGGACTCGGGAGTGGAGATCAGATCCCAGCCCGGCCCCTCCAAAAACAAAACCAAACAATAAAAAGAAGAAAAAAAAGGAAAAAGAGAAAAAGGGGAGGAAAAAAGAGCCCCAAAACACGCCCACCCACCCCAGCTATTAATACGGATCAATCATGGCAAATTCATCGTATTAATTGTGGCGAGGAGGGGGGTGCTGGTGCTGGTGACAATAGATCCGAGCAGAGGGGAGGCGGCCCCCGGGAGCGGCGGCGGCCACAACACGGCTGGTGCCCGGGGGCGCGGCGGTGCGGGCTCGGCGGAGCGGGCTCGGTGCCGCCCGGGCGGTGCCGGTGCCGGGGGGCGCCCGCCGAGCCCCGCGCGGGGCGGTCGCGGTGTCGCCCCCAGCGGCCGCGCGGCCCCGCGCCGCTCACGTGACCGCCGCCCCGCCCGCTCCCCGCCCGGCGGCGCGCGAAATGCGGCGCCCCCGCCGCGCGAAATAAGTCTCGGGCATGCGCGGGGGGCCTGCGCGGTGGGGCGGCCGGCACGCGCTGTGACACCCCCTCACATTGCCCCTCACATTGCCCCTCAGACCGCTCCTCACATTGCCCCTCACCGCTCCTCACATTGCCCCTCATAGCGCCCCTCACACTGCTCCTCACAGCGCCCCTCACACTACTCCTCACATTGCCCCTCACCGCTCCTCAGACCGCCCCTCACAGCGCCCCTCACACTGCTCCTCACAGCGCCCCTCACACTGCCCCTCACATTGCTCCTCACAGCACCCTTCACATTCCTCCTCACAGCACCCCTCACTGCTCCTCACACTGCTCCTCACGGCGCCCCTCACACCGCTCCTCACATTGCTCCTCACACTGCTCCTCACAGCGACCCTCACGCTGCCCCTCACACTGCCCCTCACAGCGCCCTTCACATTGCTCCTCACAGCGCCCCACATTGCTGCTCACACCACTCCTCCATTGCTGCTCACACCACTCCTCACACCGCCCCGATACCCCGGCGCTGCCCTATCCCTCGAGCCGCCCTCCGCCCTCACGGGACCTGGCGTGGAGGGCGCGAAGTCTCCCTCTCTGGAGTTGTTCGGACGCGTCCCTGGGTCACCTGCTGCGGGTGGCCCTGCCATGGCAGGGGTTGGACTAGATGATCTCCTGACGTCCCTTCCAAGCCCAGTTATTCTGGTTCTGCGATTCTGTGTGCAGCCCTTGTCCCCCGGCCCGGCCTCCTTCCCTCACGGCTCAGGGCTGCCTCAGGTGCTCGTCCCTCACGGCCTCGGCCGCTGCCGGGCGCTGCCCCTGCCCAGCCTTGCAGTGGGCTGTGCTCCTGCTGTCCGTGAGGGGAGCCTTTACCCCTCTGCCCCGGGATGGCGGCTGTGGCCCTTGCCAGGGTGACCCTCCGACATGACTGGCCCAGATACTGAGGCTGCGGGCAGAACAACTTGTGGCCGCCACCTGAAGCTCACCTGTCCTTGGCTCTGCCCTGCCCACACTGTTCGTGGCCTTTTGCCTGTATCAGCCTCGGCTTTGTTGTCTCCCCTCTTCATGTTCCCGCCTCCGTGGTATTAGGGCATATTGCCCGTGTTACCTCAGCACCAAGAGGGCTGTGGAATGAACAAATTCACTTTTAAAGCTGGTTCTTATGGTCACCCTTCTCACCTGGTGCTTCTGTCTCCTGCCCAGGGGAGCCTGCTGAGGGAATGATTAGGCTTGGAAGGAGAAGGGCATGTGGAGCTGTTTGGTCTGACTTTGGGGAGAAAGCATTAGGAGCAGAGCACTGGAGAATCAGGACATTTGCTAGGAAGAGACAAGGAGGGAGGAGGAGCAAGGAACAAGATGGGGAAGAAACCCCAACCTGTGAAGTCTCGATGTTCAGAACAGAGAAGAGGGGCTCTGGAAGCACAGCACTGGTTTTCCTCCATCTACCGGGGGTGATCATGCTGTTGTGTAGTTTGGAATATATTGGGGGAGATTGGAAGGGCAGGAGAAAAAGATAAATTGTTTAATACTCCTTCTCCACAAAGAACCTTCTGTACAAGAACCAAGTCTGTCTCCTGTAGCTGCTAATCATTCCTCCACCGAGATCCCCAGCCAGGGGAACACACACAGGCTGAGTGTATTTTTCCAATAATCTCCCTCTGGGCTACTCTGACTCTCGGGGGATGAGTCTCTGCTTGACTGTATAATACGTTGTTTACTCTGTACCCTTAGGCCACCAATCGAGTAATTTTTTTAGTATGTTTTCTATGATTACTGAGTGATTATGTGAAATACTGGGAATCCGATACACCCTCTGTATCCAGAAGGCAAGTGACACCTTTGCCACCTCTCTGCACACCACATCTCCTGGACAGCACACAGTGACTTTTAAGTTGGTGTGAGCCAGAGGAGGAGGAAGCACAAAGCTCGGGTAACCCGAGAGTGTGAGAGCGTGTACCTTACAGAAGGCCATGCTGCCCATGGCAGAGGCACATGGCTAGTTTTTAAACATTCTCAGATATCAACCTAGAGACCATCTCCTAATCTGACCTTAGATCTCCCTGTTCAGATTTTTCTTGCTGTTTAATAAATGCATTTCTCTATCTTACTTTGGGTTCTTTTGTCTCATAGCTGCCTGCCAGTTCTATACAATCTGACTACACAGAAGCTGCACTGCTATTGCTCAAGTGTTACAATTTCCGTGTACAGCAAGCTCAAATATTATAAGATCTCTGTCTTCTAAAAAATATTAAGCTGTGCTGTGTCAAACAACTGTTACCTGTTGGGTTTTTTTGAAAATAACTCTGTAATTTTCAGGGCAAAGTAATTGATTATAGTTTCCTGCATATCCATCACCATTAAAGTGACTTAAGAGACCTGTAGTCAGATACATTTCTGCAGACATTCATTGCGTGGCTGAAAGTCTGCTCAGTCTGTTTTCTTCTTGAATGTGTGTATGTGGATAACAGACACGATACGTGATTCATTTTGCATTCTTTGTAGAAACAAATCCCCAGACTTGCATGTCTATGGAAAAAAATAAGATTAAAACCCATCCATCTAACTCATCCTCCATTGCAAAACATTTTTGTTCTGTGTAATATTTAAGGCAAGCATTAGGAATCACAGGTCACCTTCTTGGGTATGATACAGGTGAATTAGCCCTTTTCTGGGTGTGATCCAGCAGGAGCATTTCCACGAGCCCTAATTGATTTGGGAGTATCAGACAGATCCTCAGGAAGTTCTTTCTCCAGTGCACTCTTGCCTCCAGCTGAGTATTTCACGTCATCTTAGCAGAAAGAATACCACAGACCTCCATGCACATTTGTTCTTGGGTTGCCTGTTAGCTTTCCTCTAGAAATACATCTTGCCTGGCATCTGGTGTGAGAAAACAGCACGCTTTTTCCCTCTTTTTTTTTTTCTTAGGCTCTGGTACCTTGCTGAGTCACTGTTTTTGAGGTTAATGACTAGTGTACTCAACTGGATACTCAGTAATTAACACCCACAGAAAGGGTACTTCTCCAGCATGTAATAACAGACCTATAATCTTCTGATTTGAGACAGATATCAAAAGCTTTCTCTTCCTAAATAATGAAGACAGAAAGGATAACACAGACCAAAAGCAACAATTGCAATTTCCATGTCACCATTATGCATTGGAACAAAATAAAATTTGCAACTGTAAAAACACTAGAAGCCGTTTTCTTAGGACTAGCCCCTGGCATACCTAAATGGAAAGGATATTTTAAACTAACTTGAATATCAGGAGATAATTCATTGCTTGAGGAAATGGCAAGAACCTTGCTTCTAGCAAGAGTAACTTGCACTGTGCTTTGGCATTAAGCTCCAAAGATGGAATTTTAAGTTCAATCCACATAGGAATCTCAGCAGAGGCAAATGTGCCTTTCTGAAGTTATCATCCTTTTAGGAGATGGGTGGTTTGACATAGCAGTGTCTGCCTTGCAGACTATTATTTTTGCTTTAGAAGGAGTTTGATCTGGGAACACAAAAAACCAAGAGAAATGGAGAAAAGAGCCTTTTTGTTATTGTTTCCACCCTGCTCTTACAGTGCATTTATAAGAATAACAAATGATGAGAACCAAAATTCTAATACAAAATAAAAGCCAAGGTGATTGTGTGGATGGCAGAGGAATTTAAAACAGTTCTATAAAACTAAACCAATTTTATCCAAATTGTATTGCTTATCAGAGAGGATTGTCTGGCTTTGTAGCTAAGGGCTGCACCTGTTGTTTTAAAAGGTGTTTTCCTAGAAG